GGTCAAGAGTCTCCCATACAGACCTCCTACTCGGTTAATAAGAGCTAAGTATAAAAGAATTGTAAAAAAGAGCTGTTGCTATTTTATTGCTAACTAGACGTACCAACTACCAATTACCCTCTTCGACGTAAAGTAAGCATAAAATAAGTAATGTTATATACTTACAGGCTCCCCATCGTACAAGGAGGAACTTTTGCTTTTCTTGCTCCGACGTTTGCCATTTTGTCTCTACGTCAGTGGGAATGTCCCGGAACTAAAGGTCAGTATCAGTCGTTTTTGCCACAAAGTTTGTCAAACGATTAACATTTTCTTTTAGAAAACAGCTTGTAAGAAAAGGTTCGTTAAAAGTTGTGTTACTATAACTCAATGGAAACACGAACTTTTGGTATTATATGGCTAGCTTCGTGAATGGGCAAGATGAATCAAATCCCGTGCTGTGATTGACTACTCGAGCGGGCAAGATGTCGCTATCTTGCCCGCTTCGAACTACCCACTGTGTCCCGCAAGAAAATTTTCCCCGAAAGCCATATCTTAAATCCTTTATTGACCAAGATTGTTCGGTCAAGATGGCCTGATATTGTCCTCGTTTTTTATTTTTTTGCGAGTGTATGGATCTCAACTCTGTCACTGTCCATAACCACGTAAAAAACGAACTTGGACCTATATCCAGCCATCTTGACCTCACGCTTGGCTAATATCCCACATATAGAACAATATTATATTCCGTACGTTAAGCGCGCTCGTCAAATTTTGCACTAATTTTTCACCTCCATGTAGATTGTTTTGTTAAGAAACATCTCAATAATCAGCAAAACGACTGAAACATTTAGAAACATTTTCTTTTTGAGATTATCTAATCTCAATGAGTAACATCGGAACGAAATTGATGAGGTGATCACTATGTTATTTACGGCATTATGACGAGTCTGAAGAAGTCCGGCAGAACTGTCCTTGTCGTCTGCTACTACCTGAACTGTAATTTGTATGTACTTCATAGTTAAGGCTAATCTTCTTCCTTGCTGACTCGTTTAAAGATGTATCAAGACGTTTCTCGATTGAAAGGTTTCGCTGTTTATGTAGACTGCGAAACATACTTATGACACCATCGACTGACTAACACTATTCACTTGACTCTGAAGATGACTTCCGCTCAGGTTGTCGAAACGTTAGTCACCAACAACAGTTCTTTTCAGCACTACCCTCACCCGGGCGACCACATAAGAAGAACTACACTTTCTGTTTAACATTCTATTTAGATTCGTACTTATTTTAAGATGTTTTTCTATTTATAGAAAATGATAACTCAACTGATAGCTCTACGATCAATGACGACGACATTTGGAAAAGGAACATGAGAGAGGTAAGGTTTGAAAGACCTCTTTTAGCTGAGTTTATTCTTACCTTGTTATAGAGAGCACTGTCATAATCACAATTGATCCTCATTATAGTGTTATGGTCACCAATCAATCCATACAGTCCTACTTTAAACATTTTCTCAAAGAAACAATTAAATTGTTTACTATTTAGCAAATAGATTCTATGTTGCCGTGCATCTGTTCAGTAATAGACCAAAGACAACGTGAAAATTTCGTAAGAACATCAGCCTGACCGCTCATGTGTTACTTTGTTTGTTCTCAGTCACATTTCCACATCATCTGTGATCTATTACCGAACAGACGCACGGCAATATGGAATCTATTTGTTAAATCTGTTTTATATGATTAAAAAAAAATGTTTATGACGTCATCTCTATGCTTGTCCTCCGATAGATCATCATCATAGGTAAGAACCTATCAAAATGGGAGAATAATTTGACTTATAATCCGATGTGTAATTTCACATATTTTTGTTCCGATACTAGATCCAAGGCGCCATAATCGTCTCGTCACTGTTTCAAATCGTGATTGGTTTCACTGGCCTCATTGGTATTCTTCTTCGCTTTATTGGACCGCTGACCATTGCACCTACAATCACTCTGGTGGGCGTGGCACTCTTTCATGTGGCAGCCGAACATGCGGGTTAGTTATTGAAAAATCCAGCTATTGTTTATGAGACCGGGCTCTTTTCTCTGACCAATTAAATTGACTGTTTGGTTTTTTTGTTTTTGTTTACAGGAAACCACTGGGGAATTTCAATGACGTGAGTATTTATTAGAATGTCTATTCATCTGATTTTGGCTGTGATTGTGAAGCTTTGCGTCGCCCTTTTTTGTGTTAAAAGCCAAAATATTTCCACATGTTGCATATAACATAACTATGACCATGATATAATGATTTTCTTCTTCCTTTGCTGGCGCTATTGTTTGTTTAATAAGTGCACAAAATCGTATTAACTAGACGATCCAAGAGATCGAGCGTTTACTCGGGCTTGGTATCGCAATATCAAATCGTCATCACAGCAGTTCTCGAGGCGCCAGTAGGCGCATAAGGACGTCAATATCAAATCGTACTCTACAACTATTGAGCGCCAAAAAAGAAATTGCCTGCTTGCTTTCGGTAAACAGCGTAATAGATATTTACATAATACTGGAGAGTGCTGTGTTTTGTGGAGAAAGATTTAGAAAGAATCATGCCTCATACGCATATCTCGCATACAGAGATGTCGCGCGTTTTCGGAACAGTTCGGTCCACGAATTCTACCTTGAAAGCCAGCCAAATTGAGTTCAAACTACGAAAACACTACCAAATCTCTTGAGAACTAGCGTAACGACAAATAGTCGAACACTTCAGATGTTGAAAAAGTCAAGGATATTTAACGCAGGAGTCAAGCTTAGTTATTACTATTAAAGTTGATAAACAGCTGAGAAGCTCTCCCTTTCATTATTTCGTTCTAGTGGTAAATAGACTTCTCAATTAGATTACCAGTCACCTGAATGATGATGGATGGCCTCTCAGCGTTTTCTTTCTTGAGTTTCTCTATCACAATCTCCCTGGCGCTGTGGATGACGAGTCCCATGTTGCTGGCCCGCAGGGATTTTGACCAGTATGTTGCTGATGATGATGTTGTTTGGAGTCAGCATGGTGCTGTTAGTTCCCTCACGCTGTTTCTTGCATCAAACATTTGTGCTTGGGTACAATGGACTTTTTTCAAGTCACTTTTGAGGTCATCGATTGAGGTTCTTCTTTGAAAATTCGCCAGTACGTCTGTGACCTCCAGCGGTAGAATACTCCGCCTTGCCTCGTTTTGTAGGCCTTTCATCGAGTCACGTACTCTTTGGCATTTTCCTTCACATAAAATTCAATCTTTTAAAACAACTTTGACTGACGAAACTCTTAGTCATACATAACCATGTACCGGTATGTACAAGTGCTCGAAGATCGCCAGCATAGTTTTCAAACTCTCAGGTTCGAGGTAGCCACTGCCTAAAACAGTCGTAAATTTTACCCAATCACTTGTGCTCTCATTCGTCTAGATTAGGGTTAACTTTTTTATCTCATTCAAACCAACTGGCAAACCAACTGGCACCAATTTGGTTTTCCAAAATTGGTTGGCGCTATAATTCTGTATTACATGCTCTAATCAAATTGTACCCCTTCACTTATTGATGCATTCCTCAACCAGGAACCAATCAGAAGCTACATATTTTGTTGAGTACTGTATATTTTTCTTGAGTACCTTATCCTGAATAAATATATTATAGCTATCTGTACCTCGAGTTGCTGACGGACGAAAAAAATTTCCGCCTGCAGCCCAGATATTAGAGCATTTATAACATCTACCTCGTCTATTTGATTATTCTTTACGTTAGTGCGTGTGTTTGTGTGTTCCAGGACTATCGTCTTCATAGCACTGTTTTCCCAATACCTTACCAAGGTTGAGATTCCAGTTCTCGAATATAGCAGAACGAGAGGTTTTCATGTTGGCCGCTACCCATTGTTCAGATTATTTCCAGTAAGTATAGCGCTTTAAACATTAAGAAATGTAATGTTGTATACTCGTTCTGAACTATCCTTGTTTCATGTGTTACGTAGGTGATTCTGGCAATTGCAGCTTCGTGGATAATTTGCGCCATCATCACTGCAGCCGGAGGGTTTCCTTCTGATCCCAGCATTCCTCAGTACATGGCGAGGATTGACGCCAGGACTGATGTGCTAAAAGAAGCCAAATGGTTCAGATTTCCGTATCCAGGTTAGTAAAAGTAACTGACGTTAAATAACTTTGCTTTCTTATGTTTGTACTGTTTAACACGTGGTGTATCTTTCCAGGTCAGTGGGGCACGCCTACGGTCAGTCTTGCAGGAGTGTTTGGGATGCTTGCTGGGGTGTTGGCCTCCATTATTGAGTCCGTGGGAGATTACTACGCCTGCGCGAGATTATCAGGAGCACCTCCTCCGCCAAAACATGCAATCAACCGCGGAATAGGAATGGAAGGAATTGGATGTCTCTTGACGGGAGCTTTTGGTAGTGGAAATGGTACAACCTCGTACAGTGAGAACATTGGAGCCATTGGAATTACAAAGGTAGATGATTTGCACGGGTCATTTACAATGCTTGTTGCTGCTGGTATGTACGTTGTGACTGTTGCTCTTTGACGACAATGTATTTGGGTGCTTCCCTCTGTGAAGATTGCACAAGACAAGGCTATGGACAATTTCTCTTGATGGGATAAGACGGATTAGCTTGTTTAATTTTGTCATTTGGTGCCTTTGTGACAGTTCCATCTTCACTTCTGTCTTAACGCCTTTCTGTTGCTTGTCCTCATGATCAACCACAGTTCCTTATTGCTGATTTGAGCAGAGATTGCCTGCTGGACGTTTTGTTTCTGTGATCGATGTCAAGCGAAGGGTATAATCCTGAGAGACCAAGTTAAATCTTTATAATTTTGTAGTAGCATTATAATTAATTTAACTTGTCTTCGACGGTTTCCAGGGGACTAAAATGGGATTTGGTTATGTCCTTTTTCGCAAAAGAAAAAATTGGATTTACTGGGTCTGGGATTTGGATATCTTCCAGCATAATGCCTTCTTTCTCAATAGGTTGGAAGTCTTCGTGTTATCCAGTTTGGAGCTCTTGTAATGATGGTTCTTGGTGTTCTTGGTAAAATTGGCGCGTTATTCGTCAGCATTCCAGATCCCATTGTTGGTGGAGTTTTTATGGTCATGTTTGGAATGATTGCTGCAGTTGGCATCTCGAATCTGCAGTTCGCTGACATGAATTCCTCCAGAAACTTGTTCATCGTTGGATTTTCCATTGTGTTTGGATTAGCTCTGCCACATTACATGAAGACTCACCCGAACGCGATTGACACAGGTATGATTTACAGTGCTAAGTGTTGATGGCTGTTGAATCACTACAGTGCAGCAACGCCAACAACTACCTGAAACTTAAAAAAAAGTTATTCACAACCTCATCCCAACGCGATTGACACAGGTATAATATACACTGGAAGACAATAATCCCTATTGCTTTGCCTGAGTGCAAATTTCTTTTAACGACAAACTGTACACTGACTCAGAACAGAACGCCTGCTGCCAGTGGACGTTAGCAGTTACTTGCAATGACTTACAAACGAGTTATTCGCGACCTCAACAAACCAACCTTCAAGCCTGACCAACTGAACTTTGACTCACAGTAGAAGGATCCAAATTTATTTTGAAAGACCAATCACTGGAAACTACTGTAGCTTTACTCGAGTCTTTAAAAGGACCAGTAATTTCGTCAATTTCAAGGACCAGACTTGGGCTGATAAATAACTTTGTCCTACATTATTATGATAGCCACCGATCAGCTAAGGTTGCTAAAAAGTATACATTTACTTTGAGTTAAAACAATGTAAAATTCATTTTGTTGTTGTTGCTTTTTTGTTTTAGCCTTGCATATATAGTATTTTATTAGAATAACAAATATCGAAGGCACCTTTTTTAGTGTAGGGTGATTCCAAAAATGAATTATCCACGTAGAGTAGGTGTAGATGGCAAGAGTTTTTCGCTTGCCCAAATTTTCCATAACAATCAACATGCTCCTGTTCCTGAATAGGTTGTTGGGCAATTTACATTGCATTTATTATAATGCCTAGCTCACTGAGTGGGCAAGATAAACCAAATCCTGCGCTGTGATTGGCTACCCGATTGGGCAAGATGGCGTTATCTTGCCTGCTCAGGATCTTGTGCTGTGTCCCGCAAAAAAAATTGTTCTTTATCCCCTATAATAAATCCTGTATTGACCAAGCTTGTTTGGTCAAGATGGCTGGATATTCTCGTTCTTTCTTTTTTTCCGTCCCGGTCCATAAATACGCAAAAAAAAAAATATCCAGCGATCTTGACCTTACGCTTGGCCAACAACCCTTATTTATGGGCTTATAAGACCTTATAACTGAACTTTAACGACATATATCTTAAACAGGAGTTTCAGAAATCGACCAGATACTGACGGTCCTGTTCTCAACAAGCATGGCAGTGGGTTGTATCGTTGCATTGATTCTGGACAACACCATTCCTGGTACCATTGAGGAACGCGGGCTCAAGGCTTGGAGGCAACACCTGTCAGATGACAGTGACGAGTTTCAAACAGCTTCTATTAAAGTCTATGATCTGCCGTTTGGTCTCAATCGCATCAGTGACTACAAAGTGGCTAAGTATTTGCCTTTTCTGCCGTACAACAATGATCGCTCGCCAGCAGCCGATGTGGAGCTAAATCGATGGCGTTGCTGCTAAGCTGTAGAATATGTGAGAATTTTAACGCGTTTACAAGAGTGAGAACCTTAACTTTTAGTTAGCTGAGTAATGTCTATAATAATGTACATTATTGCATAGACACGTGTTTTATTCAAATACACTACCCACAAAACTCGTACGAAATTACATCTGGAAAGCAAGTGGAGTATTTTCCAAATCCTCCCTGGTGAGGTTATTGGTGACGTCTTTTCTAGCTTTTTCACGGTTGTTTGTGCAATCAGTCAGTTTGTCTAAATAATAAATAGAAAATTGCACTGTCGTTTGAAGAAATGAATCTTATTTTCTTGTGTTACAAGCAATATCTTACTCACTCGCTGCACGCTGACCCTAAGTTAGTCAGATAGAAAGCCATATATCGACCACTACTTTAATTTGTCATACAGACAATTATACAAGCTACGATATTGAAGAGACATTTAGAAAGGAAATAAACGAATGTTACTGCTACTGTTGTTGCTGTTGTTGTTATTTGTTGCTCTTGTTAATTTGATGCTAAGATTGTTAGATGTACATGTGATAGCATGACCATTGCATGGGATAAACACAAATGAGTCTTCTTTCGGTGGTGGATAAATAGTTCTAATTTTTACCGCTTTAACCTTCGATCGGCTTCTTGTTCTTGGCTTTTTTCTCCTACCAAGTAAGGCAAGACCCCTCCCTTGATCTTCTTACTACTGGGTTTTGATATACACACAGCTGACTTAAACCGAAAACATTTAAAAGTCGAAAAACTATTTATTATTATTATTATTATTATTATTATTATTATTATTATTATTGATATAGCATGAACTACAATAGGACAATTAAAGGAGATACAAAAGATAATAGAGAAGGTAATGGTGTGTGTTACAAAAAAAAGTACAAAAAAGAAAAGAATTACAAACTAATTCAAAGTACAACATTTTGAGTAGGAAACAATTACTACATTAAGAATGAATTAAATTAATTAATAACTTAACTAAGTAAGTAAAATGAAAAAAAACTCCAATAAAGTCTTTCCACTTTTTGTTGAAACTGTCAGAGGTTTTATTTTTAACTGCTATTTGTTGTGAAGTATTTAATTTGTTCTTAAGTAAAGGAAGGAAAACCGTCAAAGGGTACATCATCGCTGTCTTGGATAGTGCAAAAGATATAATACTTGGCCACCAAGGTGACAG